ATTTGACCATCCCCTAGTAGAAAGAGTTTGATGACTAGCTTGTCCTGCAGTAGATCCTCTGGTGTTTATACTATCCACAGGCAGTGCCTTCAAAGATTAAAAAAAAATTCAAGTTGATTTGAGGCATCTGCTTGCTTTATCTATTTCTGCCACCAATCACTATACATTATTTAAAAACAGAAGATAATGAGATCCATCTTTCAGGTCATTTAGTTTTTGTTTGTTTAATTTTTGTGATCTCTCAAAGACTTTGACTACTGCCAACTTTCAAACCATTCAGATAATTAAACGTCACTGCAAAACAGAAATATTAAATGCTTCCTGAGCAACACTGCAACTAGAATAGAACACCAAGAACTGGACATTACTGGTCCTTAAGTGTCAAACCAAGATCTTAGCCAGGTGTGCTGGGAAGCTGTAATTGAAAAACTTCTGTAATGGGTCAAATTTTTAAAAATTGATAATTTCTTTTATCATTCTCTTCCTCATGAAAAAGAATATGTATTTTTGTGGCATTCTAGTTCAAAACAAGGACAATAAATTTTCACAATGAATTTATAATTTACATTTAAAAATATTCTCTATATTCACATTGGGTCAAATAAAGAAGATAGCAACTTTCTAATATACTCAACAGCCCCAAATATCATTACAGATAATATAGCATGACATTTTATGGGTTGGATTATTTTAGATCAACAATTATGGTAGCTAAATCATTTAATGTTGCAATTTAATATTTTATACAACCACAATAGTTACATATGAATTAAATTTAGTTTTGAATATGAGGACATTTTTAAAAACTTCATAGCAGTGATTCTGCAAACACGTTGAAGGATACTTTGAATGCTATCACTTGATATTAACAAATGCCCTTATCGTTCCCAGGAAGTCCGTGCACAGCTGTCCCTCTAGCACACAGTGACTAGTACTGTTCTCTTTTGTGGAGGATGTGCCACAGACAGCAATCACTGGGCAGGCATACAAACACTGGCTAGGCTCATTTTGCAAATAAAAATAAGAATAAAACGTTCCTTAACAAAGATATCCTATTTTTTTTAATTTAGAGGCCTCTATATTAATTTCCAATCAGTCACTGATAAATGTGTTTGATTGCAATTTAAAGCGATGCAACAAAGTAATGTGTAAAAGGAAGATGCTAGTGACATCCTGTAATCTCTCTTTAGTCCAACCCCAAATGACTTTTGGACCTAGACTCCTGTTTTCAATAGCATGTAGGTAGGAGAGGAATTCTGCATGCAAGTAATATTTTTTCCTTGTATTTATGTACGTTTTTTAGTAGTAGCAGAATACTGCAAACCAACAAATGAAATAAAGACAATGAGCAATGAAAAGCAGTGATTTTTATTCTCTTTTTCATGTAACAATATGCTGAGAAAGTAATATTCATCATCTCTTTAGGCAAATACCCATTCAAGGACAAACAAAATTGATCAATCATGAATCCGAAGGCAAAATTCAGAAAACACTATTCTACTCTTCATTTCCTCCAAACCATCAAATCAAAAGAAGCATGTGTGTGTGTGTGTGTGTGTGTGTGTGTGTGTGTGTGTGTCTGTCTGTCTTTACTTCATAAATAACTTCGGTGTTTTCCCCTTGACTTGTAGTAGTAAATAATAAGCATTCTACTAATAATTAATCAATAAATGAATGAATGAATAACTTCTTTTCCAAAATGAATTAGGATGCTGAATAAAGTTTGCATTTTAATTTATAGATTTATGGCCCTGGGGTTGGGTTAGAGATAATCCTTTGTACCTCTTCAAATGCACTGCACTGTCTCAAGTATTTAGACCCTCCTTGCGAATGTTCCTATGCCTCTGCTTTTCTCTAATCCACCATTCTTAGGGACTCCTTTCCTTAGGAAACTCACAGGGCCATTTTCCAGTCTGTTGGTTTGACAAAGCCACTTTTTCCTTCATTTTTTAAAGTCAGTATTCACTGAGATTAAACAAAGACCTGTATAAGCAACTTCTTTTGTTTTCAGTATATTTTCCCATTTCATTCAAAATCTAGTTCATAAATTAAGCAAATAAAACCTGCAAGAACCTCAGTCTTTGCAAAGACATCCTGGACAGGAATGTTGCTTATATAAGCTCACTCCACACGGTGCCAGGGTCATGACAATACCTGGCAAATGGTGAGTCTCCAGTTAAATGTTTGGTGAGTAAATTTAGCTTAGCATCCAGCTAGTACATTTTGAACACTTATTATGAACCAGGTGATGAGGCTGTGACAGTGACCAAGATCCAATTCCCTGCCCTCAGAAAGATCATAACCTACAGCAGCACTGTCCCATAGAAGTGCCAGCAATGGTGTTCAGCTCTGTGCAGGTCCATGGTAACCCCAAGCCACAGGCGGCTACTGGGCACTTGACATGTGACTAGCACAATTCTAATTAATTTAAATTTTAATTAAAACACTGAAGCAGTAAAAAATAGTTTTCCATAAAATATACCTTTATTGTCTAGGTAGACTACACTTATCTGTAACTGCTATATCATATAAACCACGGATTTCTTTTACTGTAATACACATGCTCAGAATATGTATCATTTTTAGCATCTTATATTGATTACCTGCTACAATGATAATACTCTTAGCATAGTAGTTTAAATAATGTTACTAATTTCGCTTTTTTTTACTTTTAAAAATGCAACTAATCAGTCAATAAGATTGACATATATGTGGCTTATATGATTTTTTTTTTTGGTTGGGTATTGCTAATCTAGGAGAAAGCACAAGGGAGTAAAAATCACCACCAACAATAGCTACAAATAAGCCAATACATAAATGATGAAATTGGGAGTCTTACAAATTTAGTAATTATTGCTAAATTAAAACCTTGTAGATTACCATATAACTTAACAATTCTATCTCTGGGAATATATATATTTATTTAAAAGAGACATTTGTGCATCCATGATTGTAGCAGGATTCATTCATTCATTCACCATGGTCAAAATCTGGATGTTATCCAAGTGTTCATTAAGAGATGAATAGATAAATAAAATGTGGCATGAATAAACAACTGGATATCACCCAGTCTGCAGAAAGGAAGGAAATTCTAACACATACTCCAACAGGAATGAAACTGGAGGACATTGTGAAAAAAGCTAGCCACAAATACACAAATATTCTATGGTTCCACTTATTGAAGTATCCAGAGTAGTCAAATTGATAGGGACAGAAAAGACAATGCTGGCTGTCAGGGGTTGGGGACGGGGAAATGGAGTATTGGGTTCAATGGGATCAGAATTTCAGTTTTATAGATGAAAAGAGTTCAGTGATTGGATAGTGGTAGTGGTAGCACAACAATGTATAATGTCACTAAAATCATTTTAACACTTTAAAATGGTCATTGCAGTAGATTTTGTTATGTTCACTTTATCATAAATTTTAAAAAAATAAATTTAAAAATTAAAAAGATATAGAGAAAATAACTATATATTCTAGTAAGATTTCAGGCATTTATAGGTACCATGAAGGTCAATGAAAAAACTCATATTTAATGTAGTTCACATTTGCTTTCATCCTGGATGAAACTTTTAAAATGGCAAGGAAGTCTGCAAGTTTAGGTAGTTAGAAAATATTAGAAAAAAATGTCTAAAGGAAACAAGAAAAATTGCATGAAATAAAGTCAGGTTTTGAATATGGTATGTTGTTTGTCTCTTTGTATGCCAGTGGGACCGAAAGCTGTGTTTTTAGAGAACATGTAGTAAGAATGCATCTGAGGGACATTTATGAAGACAAAAAGAGCAGACTGGAGTGAAAAATGTAGGTTCTTTCTGTACAGTCAGAAATGTGTTGCACAGAGATGCAGTCTTACTGATAGCCAGGACGTAGGAGCAATGTACAAACAAACAGATGTAGGCAAGAGCGGGTTCAAGAGACCTTCTGTGAAGACTGAACAAGAGTGATGTTCATGTGGAGGTGTGGGCCATGCTCAGAGTCATCCCCTCCTGTAAGTGCTCCTATCAGACACTGATGAGTGTCCCTATGAGAACTCCAATTTGCCATCTATAATCAATAACATGGTGATCCATGGCCATTCATTAGTCTCAGTGTGAATGAGTCAATCGATCACTCAACCACTTCTGAAAGAGGACCCTGGTTCTGATGTTCCCTACAACGTGACTTCCCTTGGAGTCTCTAATTCTCCCACTAAGGCTTGGCGCTAGATTCCCACTTGCGGCAGGAGCAGGCTTCAGGTGTTTCTTGGCTTCTTAGTTCCTCTGGTGGCTCTGCTGTCCTGCAAAGCCTCTTTCTTATCTGGGGATTTTCAGTGAAAGAATAAGACAATCTATAGGATCGATTTCTGCATTGCTCAGCTCAAATGACATGCATTTACTTTAGAGGGCTTTAAGTTACACAGTATACAAGTATATCATTTACTGTTGATTAAAATGTTTGTGGTCATGTCTATTCAAAAAATAAAAGTTGGGCATCCATTCTTTGGTTAGAAATACAACCTCATGTCTTTTCCCCATGGGAAAATCAGGTATGACTTAAGACTCCTTTTGTAAGTAAGCATGAGGATCACTGGTATTTTATTTCTGTGTGTATTTTTCCTGCTTTGTGTAAGTGGCACTTTTAACTTATCAAAATCTGCATTCTCCTGAAATGTTCCATGCCCAAATCATGTCAGAAAAAAAGTCTACTATACACACTTTTATGTACCTTTCTACATTATTTTATATACACTATTATATTGACTGATAACATACACACATAAGGTACACTTTCATAATAAATTCAAATTAGCATGAGCTTAATTTTTTTTTTTTTTTTTTGCAAACTGCTTGGTTCTGTGCTGGCTTAATAAGATCATTCAGCTCATGAAAATCCATTTTTATTAGAGTTAATTTCCATTTTAATTGGGAATTCCTCGTGACTTCTTTTAAAAACACAATATTTAATTTAAGATGGAAACCTGAAACACAAATGATAAACTTTTCCTCATTTCTTTTTTTCAGGTGCAAGGACCACATACATATTTAAAGAATGGCCACAGAGGTAAGTTTCTCTCATTCATACAGTGGGGCATGTTGTTTTAACATGAAATCTATTGTGAGTGACTGAAGATACCATTTCCCCCACATCTAAAGAACTCATGTTTCAAGTCTCAATGGAATGCAAATCAGTCCTGTTATGCTCACTATAATAGCAATCCAAGTTAAACATCAAACATGTGGAAGGAATTTCAGGGAGGTGTTTTTATATTTCTACTCTGACTACTTGGTGTGACACAGCAGTTTCTCCTACACTAGCTACTTATCCTTTCAGATTTGTTTAGTTTGCATAAAAACACTCTTTAAATGCAGTATTACACAATGAAGTTTCAGGTATTTGCAAAATAATGTGGCACAGCTGTGTTGTTATTTATTCTCTACCATAAATTCTACTGTCTGGAAAATGAAGTTTGTTTAAAAATAAACTCTTCGAGACTTCTTCTAATGAACAACCCCCATGCAAGTCTTTTATTTTGTGGATGGAAAAGTGCATCTAAGAGGCTTTATTTCACTCAATAATAAATATTATTCTGAAATCAGAAACCCAGAGAAAATTGGCTATTTTAAAAATAGAGTTCATTAAAACAGTTCAGAGAACCAGTTCTTCAGGAGAGCTTCCTTAAAAAGCAAACACTCTGGGGATGGATTGCCCAGGAGGCCAAAGCAGAAAATTGGTAGCTTAGTCCTAGAGAATGGATAAATAGAAGAATTTCCAACCTGGACCACTTGAGCACAGGATATAAGGAAAGAATAATTTACTTCTTCTTCTTTTTTTTTTTTTCATCAGAGGTCTGGGTCCATGTTAGGCTGGTTGTCAATCACAGGTCTGGATGGAGGTCTCAGAGTTAGCTGAAGAAGTGACTTTGACCAAGTCCCATTTGCAAAGCTGTGGGAAATTCCCAGGCTTTGCTATTCCACAGAGATAGATTCAACAGTGCACTGGTCAATATTTAAAGCCAGACCAACTCTGGTTTGTAGTGTTTGCCAATTTCTATGGTGTGAAGACTCCCACCATGGCCAATTTGAAGGTATCTTCATGGCCCAAATGCAGAGTTGGGAAGACATGGCCACAGTCAGTTCTCACAGGTATCTTTCCAGATGTTACAAGTTGATTCCAGCAAGTCCCTGCATAGACTGCATTTCTGTAAGTATATACAACCTTCAGCAATTAACTCTTCCCTAAAGAATCCTCATGAGTTCATTTTAGGGGTAAATGGAAGGCACTAAGCACAGAGACTGAAATGACAGACCTTCAATACACATCCATTCTCTGACCTCATGATTGAGTTTCTGTCTGTCTCTTCTTCCTCTCTCCTTTCCCTTCAAAAACTCTTTGAAAAGTCTGCATTTGTTCTATTCTCCCTTATTAAACCACTATCATCTGATTTTCATTTATAGAACCCCTGAAAAAATAATTTCTCTGTGGGATCCGCACCCCTTTTCTAACTCCAAAAGACATTTTCCAGTGCTTACTCTACTGCTCATTGTGGCATGCCTTGAACATTTCTTCCTTCATCTCATTCTCTTCCTCCCTGGGATTCAGAGACAGAGACTGCCACCCATTTTCAGAGGACATCCTTGGTCTTTCTTAGGATCCCACTTCTCTTAATGTGTTCTTCATTAATGTTTGGAATTTTCCAGCGATGCATCCTGCCTCTTCTCTTCTCACACCCCCAACTCCCTTTAGGTAAGCTCACTCCTAACCAGGACTTCACCTCTTATCCGAGTACCAATGACTTAAAAGGTGAAGCTGTGTCCCAGACATCTCTCTGGAGCTCCAGGATGTATCAGCTGTATTGCCTATTAGTTGTTCAACATTCTTAACAGTTTGGCCTTTGTATCTCATATGCCAAGTATCATCAACAAAGACACGGCGGCATTGCTTCTCCACCCTGACAAACTTCTCCCTCCTTCTGTGCTTTCTATAACAGGTGGCCCTTCACCTTATCTCAGGCTGGAAAGCTGGGAGTCATCCTCCCATGCTTCCCATATCCAGTCAGTCCAGTCAATTCCATCTGCATCTGTATTCCATTTCTCTGGCTTCCTCTCTAATGTCCTTGTCCTGGTAAACCTGGGACCTTCATTCTTTCATTCTTAGGTATTAAAATGAGAAGCCACCTGATTTCCCCATCCCCAGGTAGTTCCTCTCCCTTTCATACTTCTAGTGAATGGATCCTTGGAAAAGGAAAATGGATCCTGTAATCGCTTGGACTTGGTGAGTTTTTAGCATCTACTGCATAAAGGGCAAATTTTATGGAATGGCACAGATGTCCCTGTGGATTATGGCTCACACCTACTTTTCTGGCCACACCTTCTGCCTCTGGTCTATGACTGTGCCCTAAACCACTGACCTGTCCCTCCATAGGCCACGCTTTTGCTTGTCTCTGCCTCTCTGGACAGCCAGCCCTTTCCCATCTTGTACCTGGTAAACTACTCCCATTCTTTTGTCAAGGATTGATGCCAATTTCTCCTCTTTCAGGAAGCCTTCTTTGAATGCCTCATGAAACACTGTACATAATTTTCTAAAAGGCACTCTTCATACTGTGCTGTAATCCTCAGTACTTGCCTTTCTCCCTGAGCAGAGAGTGACTGAGCTGAGGACATTTATCCCATACTGAACTCACCTTTGCATCCTCAACAGGAACTATAAAGATGTGGATCAAGAAGATGTTTAGAAAATTGAATGTTATCAACTTACAAATGCCTCAGATGCTTTTCCTGCACTTTTTGTGCTGCCAAATGACATGGCTTCAAGAATAAAAAAAAAGAAAAAAAGCTTTTGTAGGACATAAACATGTTGGAATGGTAAGCATTTTCAAATAATTTGGTTCTATCTGGAATAATCATCCTCAAAGGAGAGTAAAGTACAGAGAAATATTACAAAATATTGATGTGCAAAAATTGGACTTTTCAAAAACGATGGTTCTCAAATGTTATCTTTACTGCTGACCTCATAAGTTTGATGTTGGTCACCAATAATTAAAACTAAGACAAATTAGATCTTCCTCAGACTTAATTTTGAGGGTATTTTTGATAGTATATGGGAACTATGACAAAAATATACAAAAAATGGTAATGACAGAAGAAATCCATGCTAAGTGTGTATCTACTTGAAAATTTACATCCAATAAATAAGTAATATATAAGAAAGTAAACATTTTATTCACTCACAGGTGGAATATTTTCTTCAGTATTTTATTCTGAAGGGCTACATATTGAAAGTGTGTGAAAATGTTTTAAACTGGAGGTGTTATTGCTGTTCAAAACATTTCCAAGAAACAAAAAAGCCTAGTCTAAAAGTAGATACCAAAGGACTGAGTTTGTAAAGCAGGTGTTCTACCGGGTGCTAAATTTCCAATAATAAATTTCACCTTTTGAGTTGAGAAAAACAATAGCACTGTTCTTCACTATTGGTAACTGTAGATTATGCAAATGAACACACCATTGCTAACTTTATGGATGCTCTAATGCCATAAATAGAAAGAATACAGCTTCATTTTACAATATGTATTATCATCTCTACTGATCACTCCATTCTCTGTTCCACTAAGACTGCTCTTTACTTCATATTTAACTGAAGTTGAAAGGATTCTTGTTGGAAAAATTGGGAACAATATATACTTAACAGATGGTGTCTCTTACTTACCTTAGTAAGCCTTCTAACAGATTTTCTAAACAATAACTTATGAAACACTCCTCTTTATAAGAATTTTTCACTGTATTTTATACTAAGTTGCTTTTTAATATCAAGAATTCTATGGACTTCCCAACAGCTTGGGAGGCTGAGGCAGGAGGATTGAGATTTCAAACCAAGCCTCAGCAAAAGGGAGGCACTAAGTAACTCAGTAAGACCCTGTCTCTATAGAAAATACAAAATAGGGGTAGGGATGTGGCTCAGTGGTCTCCTGTCCCTGGGTTCAATACCGGGTACATCCTGCCATCCCCTGCCCCCCTCAAAAAATTCTATGGATTCAATGCGGCTATTTCTTCTAATTCAGGTACTTCAAGCTTAGTAGCATTTTTATATAAAATGACCATTGTTCCTATTTTTTTTTAATACTGGCTATCAAAGCCAGGACTTTCTACCCCTGAATTATTTAATTTTTTATTTTAAGATAAGGTCTTTGCTAAGTTGCTGAAGCTGGCCTTGAACTTGTCATCCTCCTGCCTCAACCTACTGAATCATTGGGGTTACAGGTGTGTGCCAATGCACCCAGCTTTTTCTATGTTTCTGGTGAAGAAATTGAGTCATTAAAACAATCAAAGGCTAGGCATGGTAGCACACACCTGTAATCCCAGCAGCTTGAGAGGCTGAGGCAGGAGGACTATGAGTTCAAAGTCATCCTCATCAACTTAACAAAGGGTCTGAGTAACTCAGAGACCCTGTCTCTAAATAAAATATAAAAAGGGCTGGGATGTGGCTCAGTGGTTGAGTGCCCCTTGGTTCAAGGGAAATGGATGATAATAAGAACCTGATTTTCATATTTTGTCCAGTTGCCATTATACCACCATATTTTAAAGTACGTGGTATAATTGTTCACCATGCCAAGTAGTCAAATTTGGCTTTGATTTTTCTGACCATGTTGTATGAACAGGGTATGGGTATCCAAACTTTGAGTCAATGGGAATATGCTTTGAATTATTTTTCAAAAATGACAATGTATCATGCCACATTATACATATTCTCTTATGAGTTATTCTTGGATGATGGAAAACAGCATTATATATGAAACTGTAACCAGGATTATAATCAGAATGCAGACTGATTCCAAATGCAAGTTGCTAGACTATAGGACAATTTTATTTCACAGTCTTAGCCCCCTGAGATATATTCTGTATGAGAAACTCAGTCCAAACTAAATTAGCCTAAGTTTTAGAACATGATTCACTTAGTTAAAATAGTAAAATGTGAGCCATTTAAGGTTTTTGTGTGTTGATTTTTTAACACATAAAAGACTCACTTAAATTAAGTAATAACAGTAAGTAGAACCATAGACATAAAATGCGAAAGAACCTTAGGAATAATCTAACCAGACCCTTCCTGCCAACATTCCTTACAGGGGTGCTGTTGTGATTTGGATATGGAATGTGCCCCAAGGACTTGCTCATGTGTTGATGGCTTGGTCCCCAATATAGCAGTGTTCAGAGGTGGGACTTTGGGGAGGACCATGAGGGCTTTGACCTCATCGATGGACCAATCCATTGATAGCTGAGTGGACTCCTGGGAGGTGGTTGAAACTGTAGGCAGGTGAGTCAAGGTTGAAGGAAGTAGGTCACTATGGGTGTGTCATGTCCCTTTCTCTTCCTCTGCCCTACCCCACTTCCTGGTTGCCTGAGCTGAGCGGCTTTCCTCTGCCATAGTTATGGCTTCCAATATGATGCTGTTTTACACAAGCCATCAAGAACTCACAAGAGAATATGTATAACCTGGCAACATTCATTGCCATTTTGGAAAAATAATTCAACAAACCATGATGTTGTGTCTCACTCAGACCCAACCGACCATGGACTGAAATCTCTGAAACTCAGAGCTGTAATAAATCCTTTCTTCTCTAAGTCAATCTTGTCAGGTATTTTGGTCCTAGTGCTGAAAAGCTGAGTAACAGATGCCCAGACTCTGTACATCTTTACTAACGTAATTTTATTCTTTCCAGCCTTCTTAGGAAGTTATTGTTTATCCTAAGCAAAAACTTACCTCTGGGTAACTTTCATCTAAATGCATGATTCTTTAAGCAAAGAATTAACCAATTAAAACTATGAGGATCTTGGTGGGTTCCTGTGGAGTGGGAAATATATTTGTGTACAATATATTTTTCTGAATCCTTTGGTTTCCATCATGATTAGTGCAATTGGATAGGGATAAATTGAAAGGGCCCAGGACCTACCATTGATTTTCCTCAGGTGAGAGATGGGACCCAGCTGTAAACAATAGGGGTGTCTAACCCAGCGGGCAGAATATAGAATTTAAAGAGAACAAGCAACAAAGTGCAGGCAGGAAGGCAGAAATAGAGATGCCCATGATTCTCTTCTTGGCCTCCTAAGCACATTCTTTGTCTGAAGATGGCATATGTGGGCCAGGGTCACAAAATGATGGATTGAGGGTATTCACGACTATTTTGGCAAAATTTGTGTCTGGATCTTGAAAACCCTGACTATCTTTACACATACAGATTTCTTGAGGGCATGGTCTGTGTTGTTTGAACTAATAAGGAGTTCCCCAAACTTCCCCAATAAGTTGGGCTTTATCCATTAGTTATCCTTGACTTCCTTTTCTCATAGAAATCAGACAAGCTGAATCACATGGAGCAAATTAGCACCGTTAGTAAAGGGAGATTCCTCAAAACTCTGCAGACTATTGTTCCCTGCCTCTGTCTCTAACGGTTTTTGTCACATTGGTCACACAGAACTTTAAGATCCCTATGGAAGGAACTTAAAGAGGCATTTGGTTGAAAACTCTGGTCAATTTAGCTTTCTTCCAAACTAAAAGGTTTCCTTAATTAAGAAGCCAGTACCTACAGCCTCACAGCAATAGCATTTTAGAAACAGCACAAATAATTTCCCCTCAAGGAGCAATAATGGAAGTAATCACAGTTGTGAGGAGGCCAGACACTTTCTTGCCTTCACATTTCTTTCTTTCTTTCTTTTTGTATTCATGATTGGGTTTTAAAAGATCATCAGAGAGAATGGAAACAACAAGATTTAACAGGGAAGTTGGACAGAGAATAATGGTCCGCTTGCTTGAGATGAATGCTAAAGTTAAGGAGGAGAAAAGAGGAAGGGACTTATGCTATTTACACACTTTTAAATTAAAGTAGACTGTTTCCTACAGTAGAATATACTGGCTGTTTGGAAACATAAATAAAACCTTGTTAACAGATTCCTCCCCCCCCACCCCTCCAGCACACACACACAAAAGGAAGTTGAAAGATGGTAGTGTTGAGAGGGATGTTTCTTTACATTATCACCTTCCAATTCTTATAGGAATAGTGGGCTGATGGGGAGTTAGGAAGGGAGATGGGAATAGTTACATATGCCAAATGAGAATTCTCTACGATTATTGGCAATGTCTGGGCATGGTGAGCTGAAAGACAGTCCCTATTATAAAGATTTATTTCTTAAGTGAAAATTTGTTTTACCTCACAACAAAGTAATGAACACATGGAAGTAGTTTTTTTTTCATTAGCTAGTAAATATCAACCCCTATTATGTTCACTGACATTTTTCCAAAGCATCATTCACCTCTGAGTGGCTACGGAATTTAGATGTGGAAACATTTAAAAAATTTCTCCCAAATGTAAAGATTCTTCTCAGGTATTAACACTGTTCTGAAATATATCAATTACACAAATGGTTTTGGAAACAATTGAGATTCGTAGACATCTGGGGGAAAGAAACTAGTTGTCAACTATTGCAATGTCTATATTTTAAAATTTCTGGTTGCAAGACTTACCTTTAGATAGATTATCATGAAAAAATTATACATTCCATCTCGTTTTCTTTTGAATAGATAGAATGAAAAGGACAAAAACTGACGAATGTCAAGGTAAAAGGGCTAAGTGTATTAATTTATATTAAATTACTTAATATCGTTCAATTCAAGGACGATAAGCCATTGCTCTCTGTATGTGAATTTTTGAACACTAAATTACAGCTAGAGATTTTTAAGGATGGAAATAAACAGGAAATAAAGCCGGAGCCAATTAAAACAAAATCTTACCTGAAGTTGCTTTTTGTTCTCTTTTCTTCTCCACTCTTCCTGAAATGAGAAGTGGCAGATAAGTTGCAGTGTGGGGTCAAGACAGCAT